CGGGGCGACGGTTTGCTAATAGACCGTGTTGAATTTCGGTTTCGACCAAACGGGCCTGGTATGCATAGATAATGCAGAAAAGTTGCGCAAGATTTCCTGCCCGATTGCGATCAAGGTGAAAGTCTTGTGGCTCGCCGGAGCGAAACGTTATCAGGGAGTTTGAACCTCGTAAATCGCTGCGTGGCGGTGTAGGTTCGGGAATGTCCTTTAACGACGACCAACGGAGGGCACCTTTTGCTGGCCCCCGGAGGATAATCGTGTTCGCTTCGGAGAGCAAACTCGTTTCCCTTCGTCAACATCCTTCGCCGTTAAAAGTTAAACATCACGGACCGTGTGCACAGTGACTCACACGGATTCGTTTGCATTTAGCCTGACCTATTCGCCTCGAATAAATTATATAATTTTGTTTTTCATATCGTAGGGGAGAATTGCCTATATTGGACTGGCTCCCTAGATTGGACCATTTGTTTATCTTAATGAAAATATATTTTTCTGGCGCAACCTACAAGTTGCCTCAATTGGACTGGTGTATTCTAGGATACAATTTATATCCTATATAAAAATAGTTCAAGGTTAGTTCAAAGTATACTAAAAGATTTTTTTCTGTTAGACTTTTTTTTTTATTCAGATTCATAATGGCGACAACATGAAAATAATCTACGTATAAGCTTGTCTTTTTTCCATTTCTCTTTTCATCCTGCGATGTTCTATGCTTGTGTAAGAGAGAAAAATAAAAAAGTCGTCCAAAATGGGCAACTCTCCCCTAATTAAGGGACCAGTGGGGATGGGAAATTGGACAACTGGCTACCCAAGTCACGGTGTCTTCAATTCACCGAGCTTATATTTCCCTCGATTATCTCCCCAATATAGGTAGCTTCGTACTCGTGGCTGAAGAATTGAATAACGGTGCTGCTCCAATTCTATTTCACTTTTGTTTCCTGAGAATTTTTGCCGGTTTCTTGCCGGATGGAATTACACGAGAGATTTCGAAAGAGCACGATACGAATGTACTTGTCGGTAAAAACCCAGGTATCGTGTGGACGTTTCTTTTTATAGGATCGAGAGGCTTTCACCGAAGTGACTGAAGTCTTAACCCTTTGACACGTTGGCGCCCGATTTTTCTTTATCTTTATATAGAAAAACAAAATTTTCAATCTTAATCTATTGTGATTAACATAAAAACAAACCACTTTTTTCTAGAGAATATAATCTATCCTTTCCTGGAGAAACATTATTTCCCAACACGAATTCAGACACGGCATACAAGGTTCATTTTCATTTTAACCACAATACATAAGAATTGAATTTTTTAGGGTGGTTTTATGGTCACGCCACGCAGCGTATTACAATAAACTCACTTTCATCCCTCTATGACCATGTGTGTTGAAATGGCTTCGATACCATGTCCGACTGCAATAAAATCCGCGTTTCATTTCCTTGTGCAAACCATTAAATTCAGCCCTCGAAGGAGACATTATTAACCGACATTAAAGAGCCAATTACAAGCCCAAGGGGTCTGCAATTGCGCTGCGAATGACGGTAGTACCAAACCGGTAATCGAATCGGGGATGGGGAGGAAAAAAATCGCAGGATGGTATGTTTTGCTCTCCAGGGATTATGTCACATGCGCAGAAAACGAATCCTTTCGCGAAGTCGACCCGGGGTTTGAACGCTCGAGAGAGGGCTCCTCCTGAGGACTTCACTCCCTGGGCCCCGGGGTGAATCAGTCCTTTGTGCCTGGCTCTCTCAGGGTCAACCGCTTTCGGTGCAGTATATGCCTGCAACGTTTACACGTATATGTATACACGCACGAATACGCTCGTGCCCGTCTGACCGTAGAGGCCTATAGGGTGTCTCGGAAGTCGTGAGGATTAATACCGCTAGACACCCAGTCGAAACTCGTTCCGTTCGCTATTATAAGCGAAATAGAGGGGGTTCGTTCGATGACGATATCGAAGGTTGGCCAGCTTTTAAATATACATACACAGCTTGCTTGTCTTTTTTCGCTGGACGACGACGAAGGTCTTCCGGCGAAACCCTGTTTCGGGAGGTATTTACGTAACCGTTTGGGCCTACCGTAGAAAGTTACTTCGTTTCGATCCAGGGAGACGTGTATCGTCTCTCCTTGTGCGATAGGATGATCGCAGATTGATTTTCTTGCGGTCTTTTCTGGGATGGTGAAAGTGAGAATATTTTTGCTGACATGGTTGTTGTGTATCACCGATACACCGGATGTGAATGGGAATTATTTATTTGAATGTTATCGCGTGCAGTGGTAAATGGGAGTAAAAACAATAATGAATTTTCGGATTTATTCCATGGTTTGTTATTCTATTAACCCCTTGACGGTGGTGACGATATCAAAATAGATTCAACAAACATAAATATTATTCGTTTTCTTTGAGTTAAAGTGAAATATTAGTTTGTTGATATTAATGTTTAACTTATAGAGTAAATGTACAATTGCGATAAATACAAGAATTCCTTTTGTTTCTGGGGAACTATTGACGATAAACTAATTGTGGAAACTGCAGACATCAAGAAAATCATAGGGCAAAGGGTTAATTTCAGAAATGGGTTGAAGATCGCTGTGGACTGATAGAGTTCAAGTTTCGATTCAAGATTCGATTCTAATAAAAAGATACCCAATAGAGAGAAAGATTGCTACGTTTCTGGTCGGGGGCTTTTTAGAAGCCGCGGCTCTTATCCTGCTTTCGTTTCTTGTCCCGAGTCTCGTTTTATTTGCGAGCGACGTTTCAACAAAATCGAGGGGAAAAAAGGATGCCGGGCGAAGACCCCGTGACTCTCTTGAAACGGCAGTGGGAGGTTCGCAGGAAACGAAACGGTTTGCGAAGCCATGGCGGTTATAGCTTAGGCAAAGAAGCACGAAAGGAAGAAACTACTTCGACAATCTGAAGACAACGTCGAGACTTCTTACTGGAATCACATTAAATTCTCGTTCGAAACTTCCTTTCGTCGATCGTGGTTCAATCACACTGACAGTTTTATCAATATCATTCAGGTACTTCTCTTTATGTCAATGTTGATTCCAATTTGGAGCGGGAAAAGGTGTAAATTATTTTGCAATCATTTAGCGAAAAATGAATATCTATTACTGCGATTTTCCGACAAGATCATATTACATTATGTTTCGCAAGATAATTGAAGGATATCAATGTCATTGCTTCGGAAGAAGAATAAGAAGGAAAATCGAAAAAGAAGACGGACATATCCTGTCTCACGGTTCTCACGTCCGTCTCGCTCATCTCGTGTGAAGATTCAAACTCGCCTCGCCACTGACGTCATAGGAATGAACGGAAGGCTAGATCCTGCAACGACGATGCTTTATCACGTGTCATCGTGGTACATTTTTATCGAATGACCGTGCTGCACTGTCTGTGCGTAATATCACGATTCAGCTATTTATATTAAACACGGAGAATTATTTCTAATGATCATAGAATTGCATTAAAAAGTAGTACTGACGCCAATGGTGTTCTCGATTTAATTTCCATTTAGTTATTAATCATGACGACTAATTTATAAATAATCCGTCGACGTAATCACGATACAAATACGATGGTACGCATCAGGAAGAACATATCTTACGGATCAATAGGTTTTCATACGTGTGGCGCATCGAAAAATCAGTCGAATTAATTAAACCACAACACGGACACGGTTTGACCGAAGCATGAAACTATAATTACTATCTCGTTCTATGTAGTAAATGGTAACCGCGATTACACGTGCGCGATAATAAGCCTGGTTCGACTATTTACATAATGACGATTGATAAGAACGCGCGATTACGTCTGATGGCTCGAAGCGAGAGACACACCGAACGAGTCTGTAAAATGTTTTCCCGTTTCGATCCTGATTTTCGATTAATTTCATCGAATCAACCCCTTCCTGTCTGAGTAACTTGGTAAACTACTTTTTTATAAATATTATGTGTACATATTAATTGGTGACCTTCTTTCCATGAATTTCCTGTTTATTTACACAAAGAAGATAAAATACAGTCTAGCCTTGAAAATATTCCTCAACAGTTTCTACAGATTTATGCCATTTCTCGGGCAGTTGGCGAATCTCATCTGGAAAAAAAAATAATGGCGGTTTTGGGACAATAATTAATTGTGGGGACCACGAATTAATTTGTACACCCAATAATATTAAAAGAAAAATAATGTAATCCCCGCGACCGTACGAGAAACTCGACCGATTTTTCTTTCTGGTTCATTGATCACGCGCTGAATTTCCGGATCACGGCGCAGGCGGTTCGCTTGTATAAAAAAGAAAAAAAAAGAACAGATCTCCTTACGACCAGTTTCACCAACGATAAATTACACACCGCGCGAAATCGGTCATCGAGAACTTGGCCAATCGACAACGAAACAGAAACTTCGGGACGATACATACTTCGAATGTCGTTGAACACTGTGATCGAGGAATGGGAAAAATGTTTTGCCTCGTTGGAAGCGAATTATAGCCCGCGACGACTTCCAGGGGGAAAAAGTGAAATTTTTTCTGGCCTGCTAAAAAATATCATTTCAGTCTCTATCGTAAGATTATGCAGCAATTCGACCACAGTCGACCAATTCTGTTCACAATCACAGAATTCAATTGTTGTCCACACAATAGAAGAAAGTTCTACCGAGAATACGAAAAGCACAGCAATCGACTGAATACATTCGTAAAATCTTATTATAACTTTTTTTCTTCATTATTCTCTACATTAACCCTTTAACGTCCAGACCATTGTATCGTTATTTCAAAATTATAAGACTAATATGTACCTATGTTGCATCTTGTTTATTTTGAATTTGTATAATTTTTCTTTTTTTATATATTTTTGGAGGGAATACTTGAATTCCTCAATGGAAAACGTGGAAATCTGCTTCACCGGTGCAACGCTGAGCGTTAAAGGGTTACATAAATAAATTTCCTACTATCTAGGGAGTTCTAATTGGAGTCGTTTTTTGTACATTCTGACGTAGAATCGAGACGCATGAGAGTCGATAGCGGGCCAGCATTGTCAGGTGAGGGCCCAGCAGCTTCCGGCGACGCGATCGTAAGATGTCGATGGCCGACGGTATGGACAATCCGGCGTTCGCCAGCGAAGAGGACTGCGCCACCGAGGCGAAGGCGGATGGCGGCCAGCAACAAGTGACCTTGGACCAGGATCGCAAGCCAACGTCGGAGAGCAGCACACCAATGGAAAATGGCCACCAACGATCGTTCGTGTCCCAGCATTACGTGGAACCCGGAAGAACGAGTCCGGATCCCTCGTACAAAACGGAAACGAAGATCGACGTGCCGGAGAGCAACGATAAGACTGTCGTCGAGCCGAAAATGAACGGAATCAATGGAAACGGGAACAACAATGATGCGAGTTTCCTTAACAACAGTGTGACCAGCGTGCAGTTGAACGGTGAGTTTTAATTTATAACAATCTAACAGTGAAATACACTGCGTAGCATAATTATAAAACAATCCTAAGATTTTTTGTCGTTTTACAATGTGGTTAAAATAAAAACGATCCACTTTTTTTCTAGGGAATATAATTTGTCCCTTTCTGGAGAAACATTATTTCTCTGCACGATTTCAGGCATTGGATACTTGGTTCGTTTTTATTTTAATTGTAATACAGAAGAATTGATAATTTTAGGGTACTTTTATTGTTACGCTATGCCGTGTATAATATAATATAGAATAGATGACTTGCACGTTCCATGTTGGATATTACCAAACATGGCGGCCAGTGACCAGCGACAGGATAACATAGAGATAAACGGGACCATTATCGTCTATTCTATAACATGTTCCGTGAAATTCTTTAAGAAACGCCATGTGTACAAGGAATGCACAAAAACAGTTGCGTTTTACGTAAGCAACGGACCGCAGGCCCGTTTGCACAGAAAATTCTTCGGGAGAAAAAGTCATCGTCGCCGCTATATCGCAGTTTTCCGCCGGTTCGATATTACTCTCTCCCGTGTTACGGAAAAGAGTACATGCTGTGCGTGATGTAAAACATAATTGCGATCGAACGGACTTTCTGTCCAGTGATTTTCAATAGACTGTGACAAACGGCCGTGATGAATTGCGTAAAACTCCTATTCGTTTAATGAATAATTTATAGGTTCTGTCGGGAAAACCTGCAAAAACGTCGCGGTTAAAATATTAATATCTATCATTTCCAACTTCGTTTGCAAATGTCTTCTACCGTCACGGACCCAGTTCCGGATCAAAACCTAATTCCGGATCCGTTATTATAATAAGGATTCTTTCCAAAAAGTTAGTAAGTAATTATTATGCAAAATGATATTTTCTAATGTAATTCATAAAGACAAGAGCAAACGTAGGAATTTCTTTCTTCTCTTAAGTATCATATTGGGTTCAGAATAAAATCGAAAACTCGTTGGTTCTGATGAAAGTTTTGTCCTTTATTGTATTTTACAGACCACTATAGGCTATAAATGAAAAAAATCTGCAGTCTAGTGATAAGGAACTGGGTCCGTAACGGTATCACTGAATACGCGATACAGATTGAAATATGTCGATCTGATTTTTCGGATAAATTATGATTAATGACATGGATTGACGATTTGAATATTCATCGTTAGAAATGGTTCGTGTGAATGAAAAGAGACACGCGTTCGAGTGCGCGTACGATTCGAAAGGAAAGCCCGAACGTGTAGAAATAGCCAGGTCTGGTTGCTGAAATCTGCGGCCGATCACCGCGATTTTACCAGATATGATCGGGACGAGCCGAACTTTCGATCGTTAATTACTACCACCACCAGACCCACGTCGCAAGAAAAAGTCGTTCGAGGTCGGTGAAACGCAGAAAGTATATGGACGGGCCTCCGCGTGTAATGGTCAACCTTAAAAAATGAAGGTACCTATTTACGCCCGTAACAATGGCCGCCTAACGATTTCTCGAACGATCATCGAGAGAGCATAAATTTCTTAATTGAACTTTTTACACAATGTTCATATTTAACTTCTAACTTTATTGGAATTCATCCAATTAATCGCGATGCATATAATCACTGTTCGAAACGAATTAGTTGAAACACTCTTACTTCAAGGTGTGTTGCAGATTAATTGGGAAATCACGAATCGCCCCGTTAGCTTCAGGTGAAATGTGTCAGGCCGTATGCATAAGTTGAACGCATTCTCAGCTGGAGTTCGTGATGCACGGTAATTGAATTCTAATGTTCCTCGGGCAACGTATTTTCCCGTTACGTAACAAGGTCGAAAAACCAACATCCTCGAGAATATATTATTCTGCTCGAGAAACGGTTACGCTCGCGTCTTTTTATAGTTACGATGATGGGCAAACGAGCATGGTGAGTCTCATATATTCAGAAACATCAGAATAGATTCCTGAATAAGCTCTTATCATCGAGAATTAATTTACTTGGCGTTAGAAATTAGAATTTTCTGACTAAGGTCTGGGTCGAGTTTGGGTAAGGTCTGGGCCAGCCATGATTCGCTCTCGCGTTATACCGGTTTCAAATCTCTAACCAGTCCAGAATTAAAGTCCAGTGTCCCTTCGTCGTTCCTAAGAGTGCGCCAGGGGGGGGGGGACCAATAGTTTAATTTATGCAAGGAACGAGGTTTCTCCGACTCACGGCCGAAAAACAGCGAACCGGTTGTTACGCCTCGTCCGGAGGCCACGTTGACGAAACGTTGTTAAACGATTGATCCCGTTTTTACCCGTAGATACCGGAAAGAAGGAGCAAATCGAGGCTGTGAACTTGGAACTAGTCTCGATGAGGCCCTACGCGGGCAACAATCAAACGAAGGGCCAAGAAGCCTGCGAAGTACCAGCCGATCCTTACGAAGAGTACTTCGTGCCGGTGAACGAGCATCGGAAGTACATCAGGTAACGAAACGACGATCGACATTCAAATAACTCACTGTTCGCCTACTTCGTGTGTGTGTGTTTTCTTAGCTATTTTGTTTAACAATCTTTTAACCACCTATTGTTCACCAGCCCGGCGGTTAGCTTGAGTCTTTTGGGCGGGGAAAAAGTTTACAGACTCCTCTCGATTATTGTCTCGAAATCGAGTCCGCGCAGGGACAATAATCGAGAGGAGACTGTACTGTGTTAATTTCGTGGATCCTGTCAGACTCGTTGAAAAGAAAATTTCTGGCGTAAAAGTAGGTATTGCAAGAAGACTTGGTTAAGTGTTCGAGAATTCTTGATTTCACGACAGGATAAATGGTTAGGCATCGTGGACGGTTCGTTCGTTTCGGAATTGGCAAACGATCCGATTTATTCGTGACGGAGAGAAATGTAAATGGTTAACGGCGGCGGCGTGAAGAAAAATACGAGGGGACAGAAGCGGAACGAACGAAGGTCCTCCAGACGTTGGGGGATACACATTCACCGATGGAAGGGCTTGCGAAACGAACGTGTCACAATATTTCGCAGCAAAATGCACGAGTGACCGTCCATTGCAAAAATGACCGTCTTTCGTCAAGCTGTGCGTACCGTCCAGGCAGAAATAAAACTTTGCGTCGACCTCGAAACGTTTCGTAATCCGACGAGTGTTGAGTTCGGTGAATTAGAAAATTCTACGACTACCGTACTGAGAGAAAGATAGGAACAATACTAGACTCGAAAATGACTCGAATGTAATCTGAAAAATTTTAGTAAACGTAGCAACAAATTGTAAAGACAGTAGGTTTTATTTACTTGGTCCATAGGTCGCGTGTCGAATACGAAATTGAAACAGTTGAACAGTTGAGGAAATTGGAATACCAACGTATTTTGCAAGGTTGAAAAAAAAATCATGCTTGAATAAAAGCAAAACAGAACATACACATATGTGTCAGTATCCCTTAAGAGGTTAACCACAATATACATAAGGATTGAAAATTGTAGAGTGTGTATAATATTGATTCACACGAATATAAAAATCTGATATGTATGTACTCGGATAGCCAACGTTGCGTCCTTACCACGCGTCGAAATCGCCAGTCCCTCCTACCAGGCGTTAAAGTCACCGAAGACGCGATTGCATTAGTGGCTACGTTCACGACATTCAACGCTAACAATACCTTCATTTTCGAGCTGATACTTGCCTAATACGATTCCTTATTCATTCGTTTATTAATAATCAGAATGTAGATGCAATATTTTCAACTGTACGAACCGCGCGACAGCGTTGATAACGATACAATTAGATCCACGTATCTCACACCGCTGCCGATCGAGTATATCAACCATCGCCCATTTCGTCCCCCCTTTCCACCTCAGTAGAGAGTCAGACGGTGTTTTCTGTTGTCACGGTACCTAGCAGGGGTCCCGAGGCCGAGGTTGAAACAACCGTGGCTGGAGTGCGTTTTGATTTGGGTCCCGGGGTCGGCCGTGAGGGACTCAGCCTGAGAGACCCTGCCGCCGGACTGGTCGACTATTCACACTGGCTGACAGCCCTCAGGTACTTGAAAGGATGCTTTCGAGGATGAGGAATACAAGGGAGGCTGCTGACCGATGAAACGGTGGATGCGCACGATCGCGAAACTAACCCGCTTCTACTGCTCATATTTTTTTTTTTTTCTTTTTCGTTTGATCAATTGCCCGCGGCTGAGCCTGTGGATACGGAATGCTGCAAACATTTCACGATTTTCCTATCACGATTGCACTGCGACGACGCCGTATAGCCTGTAGATACGTGGATTACGAGGAAGAATCGTATTTTTCTTTTCTTTTTTTTTTAAACCGCGTGATGCTCGAATTTGTTCGATTCGCAAAAAGGGATCTGGGGAGAGGACTTTGTGTTCTCTTCCTTTGAGGCGCTTAAGGGTTCTCGCACATCCCCTGTAGTTTCTACACAGGTAAACAGATACTCGGGAAAGATTAAGAAACGGTTACAACACCCACTTCAGAAGCAGACATCCCACACATGGACACTGATCACAAGCATTCTTGGAATGTGAACGTACCCTCGGTACAGTTTGTTATCGGTCACGCAACAGACTTCGATAAACTTGCGAATCAGGGTAGAATGTGCGATCGTGCGTGACGAACGTTAGATGTGTACGACTAGATGTTCATAATGTATGATCTTAGAACGGTGTCTGTTCGTCTAGGAAAGCTTCTAATCCCATGGGCTGAACGCTGAAGAACGACTCGGACATTTAGAAGCACAGTGCTGTACAAAATTCGCTTAACTTGGGTCCAGGATAAGGGTGAACGGACACAGTCGAGAAAGTCTTTTATTAATTCGTCGTGACTTTATGTTACAGGGGTGAGAAACTGTACGTAACCAAGGACAAACGATCCAGGAGTTCGTACTGGAGAAGGTTGGCATGCTGGGGATGCGGTTTATTGGTTCTCCTGGTAGCTGTCATCATTGCCATCTTAGCAGCGAGTAAGAACATTTTCTCGACTTTTAGTATTATTAATGTTTTAATAAAAAAAAGAAACGGATGACATCTAAAAATGTAGACACGATACTCTTTGTAAAAAATATTCCAAAGATGAATATTTACACGACCGGTTCGACTGGACCTCGAATTTCTTTGAATTCGAATAAAATCTGTGATATATCATGATCAAGACAACGTTGCATCACGCACAGAAGCTATTAATTTCAAGGCATCCGTGCTACATTAATATCCAAAAGCCAAACTACGAAACTCATTCTCTTTTTGTTTGTCAGAGAATAAGAATGAATAGATGATTTTACTAAAGATTTATATTTCCATCTCTTCGAAAGATTTATATACGAGAACTGAGTGGAACTCGAGACAAACACGAAATTTTTAATTCCGTTGCAGCTGGCGTGATCTTAACGCAAGAAGCCTCAGAACCTCTGGAGAACCTGCAGCAAACTAATTCACGACAGTTCGGAGACGTTCGAACCGCAGGAAGTCAAGAGTACGTGAAAGATCCGCCGTCGAGTCCACCGCCCGCCACATCGAGTATGCCGCCTTGGCCGACGACGGACGAGACCTGGTACAAAACTGTGCCAAGTGCTTTGGACGGGCTAATGAAGTTAGAGGAGTTCCGTTGGAACGACGATTTACACGACCATAAGTCGCGAATGTACAGACAGGTCTCTTCGGAAATAGAAGATCAACTGAAGAACATGTTGCAACCACCAGACAACGATACGATAGTCAAAGTATACAGCATAAGCAAACATGGACACGTGAAATTTCGAATAAGTTATCCGCCGCAATCCATGGCCGACGAAACGCAACGAAGTATCGAGGATTCGTTGCAAAAAAACGGCAACATGATCGGACAGTATCACTTGAGCAGACTCGCGGTCAGCAGCCTTCTCGACGAGTGTCAGATCGAAAATTATGGATGCTCGGATAATTGCCAGTACGATTATTCGATCGGGATGTTCACGTGTTCTTGTAACTCCGGGAAAACGTTGGACAACGATGGAAAGCATTGCATAGACAAGAACGATTTAAGCAACGTCGAAATGGACGACGAAGTGCCGGAAACTAGTACAGAAGTAGTGCATTATTACGTACAAGGAAGGAGCAGAGGACCAGGAACTGCTTTTGAGCCGAGACATCCTGGTGATTGGGATCATTCGGAACATAGCACGGAATCTGGACACTTTAGACACGCTGCAACCGAGCCAGATCATGACCATGAGTTTGGTATGCATTCTCATTCACACGATTCGGCAGAAATGAAGCCAACGACGGAGGAGAATCATGTGGTCAAGGACGAATCTGATTCTATGCATTGGATGCATGATCACTCGAGTCATTCTGGTGCTGAATCTGATAAGCCAGAACCAGAAACTACTTCTGAACCTGAAGCTTCGGCTGAGCCGGAACCTTCGGCTGAGCCGGAACCTTCGGCTGAACTAGAACCTGCAGCAGAACCAGAACCTTCACCCGAACCAGAACCTTCACCTGAACCAGAACCAGAACCTCCACCTGAACCAGAATCAGAACCTTCATCTGAACCAGAACCAGAACCTTCAGCAGAACCAGAACCTTCAGCAGAACCAGAACCTTCAGCAGAACCAGAACCTTCAGCAGAACCAGAACCTTCAGCAGAACCAGAACCTTCAGCAG